ATATAAATACAAGACATAAAGAAAATAAAGATAGTAAAATTAAACTCGCTCAGAATTGTATTAACTMTGAGTCAGTGTCTTCRAAAACATGTCAATTTTTAATGCGGATTTATGCTACACATTAATTAAAGATGATATTACATTTACTAAATTAAGAAATAAAACTTTAAAAAGGCTTTTGGAAAAATACATTGGGCAAGCAATTCCAAGCAAAAGTTTTGTTCAAAAAATTACGTTGAAGTTATTTATAATGAAACTCTTTTAAAAAATCAAGGTATCATTGGAAGTGATGGGTGGTCTCATTTGGGTTTTAATTTATGAAACTATAATATACTTTAATGGTCGCTATGTATTGCCGATACTATAATGGGAAAATTTATTAGTTCCAAACCTTCTATAAACCATTTATTATAAGCTGTGGGGAACTAAACAAGTGCAATCATTAAACAATAATTACAAAATTGTTCAATGATACGATGACTTTGTTATGATCACAACTCATAAGGCGTTAAATACAATAATTTTATTTTGTTCTGAACGGATGCTGCTCCGTATTGCTTAAAACTGGAAAAATTTTTGTTTCTTGGTTAAAGCAATACAAAAAAAGCGGGTTAGTCGCGGATGTAGTTATCATAATTCATAATACCTTATATTATCATAGATATACAATATACATATACCTGGTTTGAGGATAAATCGTTATCATTACGCGATTTCATAAAAATTTAAAACTCAAACGCTCAAAACATTTTTCCAATAATGACRCTTCAAAWTTTCYCTAYAGCTATTTGAAGCAAAAMTTATGGAAAACTTAGTGTTGMATTTYATARCCTTAGATAAAAATACAAACAATATTATGAATTTTGAACTACAAAATAATTCGTAAATATTCATGGTTTTGACGAATTTTTGTCAATATTTGAAATTCAAATGCTAATAAAAATTTAATTTGCATTTCCGGGGGACATGTTTTTTGTGATAAAGATTGAAAAACTTGTAAGGAATCTTATTTTAAATTTTTAAATCTTAGTTTAAAAAAAATTTTTATTAATTTCTAGCTTAAAATAATTTGTGAATTTTTGTGATTTTTACGTATTTTGTCAAAATTCAAACTTTGAATGCTTATAAAAAAAAATTGTAACWATGAATTTATTTTATTTTTCAACTGCTATTGTAATAATATGTTAAATAGCCTTGTATTAATTCACGCAGACAACGTGATTGTAGCGCCGCCCGTAGAAGAAAATATTAAGCGAAATGACGAAGCGTTGGACGTCACGCCAACCAAGGGAAAGGATGTCACTCTCGAGTGACCTTTTTGGGACTCGTTCGTCAGGCTGGACCCGGGAGTCACTCCGGCAATACCCGAACCTCCACGAGCGGGCATCTTGATGCGAATCATCAACGCCATGTGGAGAGGCATGAAAAGTGCCGCACGCGTATTTTGCTGTTTTTTTTTTTAGTTTTCTCCCGAAGTGAAACCGTACGAGAGTTCCCCTCTTGGTTGAGGGCAGCAGACAAAGGCGAGGCAATGTGGGGACAAGGGAGGTACGCGACAGAGCACATTTAGGTGGGTGTTCGGCGGTAAGTCACTTATACACGTTATCCGGTCACCGGCGGTGGCGCGACGGGATTGCGGACGTCAGGCGCTCAGGATCGCCGACACGCGAGACCCTCTGGCGGCGCGGCGGACGCCCAGCCACTTCGGTTGCGATCGACGAGGACGACACGACGACGATCAGGCTAGCTGTATCGACGCGGGCAACGACGCCGCCCCGACGATACCACTGACGACATGCAATGCACGAATACGACTCGTTGCGGCTTCGGCGGCGACGGATACCACGGAGCTCATAATGGATTAGTGATGGATGACTATAATTTATGTACAGGGTAGATAGGAACACGGATGTCAGTATAGCACTGGACTCGAAGAAACGAAACGTTTCAGAGTTCCAGTGGTGCGCGACTCCACGGCGGGACCATCGGCCGCGGCAGACTGCACGGTGCCGACGGGTGTGGCCAGGGCGAAAATCACGGAGAGTCTCACACCACAGATTCTCTCCCCTTTTCGTCCAGTGGTGTCTGACACTGTCGGCCGAGTCACGACGCCTCGGCTATAGGTCATCTCCGATTCCGCAGTACCCATCATATATTTTATAGTTTTCGTCGCTCGCTCCGAGAGCTCTGCAGGTTTTAGGTAACCGGTGTCGTCGGCACAACGGCCATCGTATTCAGCACCTGCAGCAGTATCGTCAAGCGCACAACATCGCGCACTAATCGCTCGTCGTTCGTCTCGCAACCGTCGTGGTCGGGCTCCGTCCGCTGCCATGGTCGTCTTCTCGACTCGGGCAAACGCGCCCGCGATTCTCGAACGCCCCGCAGGACCGACTGAACAACGTTGTAGAAATGACCAGTAATAGCCATGTACTTACTAGCAACATATTCAATTATCACCCAATTGCCATTACGTACCACCCACATTGCCTCGTCTTCTCTGATGCCTTTTTTTTGTTATAATTATTATTTATTGTTTTTTTTTTCAACTTGCATTGTATTATATTGTATGTCATATTTCGGCATAATCTGCTAAAAWTTTTAAAGCAGACATTAATTATTATGTTCACATTGTTTGTTAAATTGTTCAATAAAACATATTTTGTTTACACAYTGTAAMATTTTGTTTTTTATTTTTCGTATTAAAAAGAACGATTTTGTACTTTTATATTAATAATCGTATTGAAATCTCACTCCCACTAATAATCGTTTTTCAATTATAATACATTGGCGAACATGATGGTGTGATGGTGAGTTAAGAAATTACTGAAATGTTGCCCCTTAAATAGTAGCCATATTGAGGTCCCTTAATAGTATTTATAATCCACGGTAGTAGGTATCTACAAAAGATCTAATCGCAAATAATGGCCTTTAAAGTTTAAATACATATCTGATTTATCAAAATTTGAAAATGTTAATTTAAAAAACACAAAAAAAAAACAGATCATTTTAAAATCAATACATTCATCACTTCGTTCAGAATCTAAAATAAAAAAAATAAAATAAAAACACACATCATGGTAAAATCAATACATTCATCGCTCCTCTCAGAATCTAAAATAGAAACATCAAACCTAACGATAATTGAAAAATGCTGAAAACAAATTAAATGAAGTTCAAAGAAAATCTGAGTTATAATTAAAAATAAACTAAACTACGTACTCGGTAAAAACTAAAATGTACAATCATTATTAAAACTGTTAGAGATATTCTTCTGAATAATAATGAAAATACGTCAAATTATATTGAATTCGCACTATATCTGACATAATATGTAGAATGAAGTATGAATATGAAATATATCCCGTTTAAGTTGGTTGACGTTAAACGTTCGGATTTGAAACCTAGCCATCGTACATTCATAATTGAAAATCTCCAAATGCACGTTTAATTCTATTGTTTCGAAAGAAACAATAATTAAGACATATAGGCGTGTCCACGGGTCATGCCTGTCATGCACAGGCATGACCTGTAAATTTGATCAAACTTACATAGTACATTTTGATGCATAATATGAACCTTTTTTTCTCAATTTCTATTTTCATATTAAATTTTTTGTTTTTCATCACGTGTATAATTCAAGGTCATATCCCCAAACCCTAACAGACCTTTTTATTTTTTTATTTTTTTTTTGAGTGGGGAGGATTGGCAGTTACCCCATCCCCTAGATATGCCACTGTTGTGCATGACCTGCGATGAGGTCTGGACCCGCCTATGAATTAAGATGAATAATTATTATAATTATAGTAATTGAAAATTATTGTAAAATACCGATTTATTTGGTAAATATTTCACGTTTTTGAAAACATATTTTGATAAAAGTAAGAACATAAACATWTACATATTTCGACTTTTTTATTACATGCGAATCCATGCCGTAATTATTAATATGAAATAGGTACTTATACCTAATATAATATTCTAATGGAGTTTGGTGTACTTACTTGAAAAGCATTCACATTAAAATCAGTTAGGTACCTATATATAGTTTATTATATAAATATACGTATATGTATATTATATACTTTATGTATCTACCTATAGGTATATAGATTTATAGGAAAATTAAAAAAAATGTGTACTTACTTTTATATTTTATATTAGATTGATTAAAATTAAAAAAATTGAATACAGTTAAATAAAATAATATTTATAATAATTTGGCAATTTTTACACGATATAAGTAGGTACCTACTTATTTATTACTACCTAATTTATCATGCTTGTTGATAAAAATTATTAATATTATAATACATTTTAAAAAATGTAAAGAAATTGGGCTATTAATATAAAATTTTTATATTAATAGCCTTAATCTTGTCTGTGATTCTTGCCAAGCCAAAATATTCAGGTACAAGACTGTTTTGGTAATAATGTAGGTAGTTTGTCAATTTACAAATTAAATATTATCCAAAGGAACGTTCTCACCGCCTGAAACATTTTTCTAATACACGATAGACATATCATGACCGATCGATAGATTTAATTTTAAAAACTTACAAAGCTATTATACAGACATTTAAAACCAATATAATTATAATGTTTTTCTCCGATATGTGTTCTTGTATGCCTAGTTAAATGATGTGCTTGAGGAAAGGCTTTGTCACAGACATCACATTTATACGGCTTAACACCGGTATGTGTCTTTATATGTCTTGTTAAATCTAAAGAAGTACAGAAACTCTTATTGCAGATATTACATTTATAAGCCTTTTATCCGGTATGTGACATTATATGGTATTTTAAAGTATGTGATTGAGAAAAAGTTTGATCACACATATCATATTTATACRGCTTTTCACCGGTATGTGTCCTTTTATGCCTTATTAATTGATATGAATGAGAAAAGGTTTGAACACAGATTTCACAATTTTACGGTTTTACACCAGTATGTGTCCTTGCATGCCCAGTTAGATGATGTGCTCGAGAAAAGACTTGAATACAGGTATCACATTTAAATGGCTTTTCTCTGGTATGTGTCATTGTATAGTTGTATGCATTGTTAAATCTAATGATGTACAAAACCTCTAATCACATATTCACATTAATCACATTTATACAGTTTTTCTCCGGTATGTGTCATTGTATGTTTTGTTAAATCTGATGATGTAGAACATCTCTTATCACACATATCACATTTATAAGGCTTTTCACTGGTATGTATCCTTGTATGCCTTACTAATTGATATGAACGAGAAAAGGCTTGATTACAGATATCACATTTGTACAGCTTTTCTTCGTTATGTGTCA